GGTTGACTCAGCCTTCCATCCTTCCGAGGTGGGTAAAATGAGGACCCAGACTGTGGGGGCAATAGGCTGACTCTGTAAACCGCTTAGAGAGGGCTGAAAGCCCTATGAAGCGGTATATAAGTCTAACTGCTATTGCTATTGCTATGAGGACCCAGATTGTTAGGGGCAATGTGCTGACTTTGTGTAAACTGCTTAGAGAGGGCTTAAAGCAGTATATAAATCTAAGTGCTATTGCTATCGCTAAACAATTTAATCCCCAGGCTTCCTAACTTTAATTGATTTGACTTAGATACTAGACCAAAGATAAAAACATTCTGAAAAAAAATCTCTGTTAATTTTACAATTGGATTATAAATGACATCTAGAGGAAACAAGATAAAAGAAAGTGATGGTTTTCTTTCATGTGGGAGAGAATTGGCCCTTCCACCATTTACCTATATTCATGGTCTGCATGGCTTCTTTAAACATGTCATTGCTGAATATGAGTCTCATAAGATTCTGGGTGTGCTTGTCCAAAGTGCAAGGCAGTATCTTTTGTTTAAATGACTTCATTCCATCCACATCATCCACCTTGAAGACAAGAAGAATAGTTGGATCTGAATTCACACAATTCAGTTCCTCTAATGGACATCATTAATCTTAAATGCACGCTACAATACATGCTTTCATCAGACTAATAAGACAATATTTTTTTCTGAGTAAATATGCATAAAAGTGCATTGGTGAAACTCATATTGTTTCTATTTCAATCATGCCTCAAGTTATCAAATGATTGTATTTTTCCTTCATTTGGCCAACAGGTACTCTGCCTTACACATACTTTATTATTATACATTTATCATTTTTATTAAAACTTTAAAAAAGAAAATACAAATATACAAAATACAAATGTAATACAAATTAAAGAAGAAAAAAGTATTTGAAGTGGCTTTATACATTCTACATAATATCTCTGGTGTCATAAACCAACAATACATCATTTTATAAAAATTATCTTTAAAATGATAACAGGATACTTTTAACCACATATTTTCCCATTGACCCATCTGTATATTATAACCAAGGTCTTAGCCAACTTCATCATATATTCTTAAACCTTCCTGTTTCAAATTCTAACCAGCATTTATGTACTTTATCAATTACATGTTATCAATGCACAATTTGTACTTCAAATTCTGTCTCAGTTTGCTACATGTCATAAGTCTTTTTGTCCATTTTAAATCTTTCTGATAATTGTAAAAGGGAAAAATATGCATAGTCCTTGAGTTATGACCACAATTGGGCCCAATATTTATATTGTTAAATGAAACCTTTGTTAAATGAGTTTGCCCCATTCTACGACTTTTCATGCCCCCGGTTGTTATGTAAATCATTACATTTCTTAAGCGAGTAAAATAGTTGTTTGAATTACCCTTGATGGTTTTCCAACAGTTCCTACTATGTCAATCACTTGCCTTTGTCTGCTGCTTTTCTTTTATAATATGTTTCTTGAGCTGAGATCTATAAAGGTGCTTTGGGCTATCAACTCCAGGCTCCCAATATGGCAAATTCAATAAAACTGTTTTTGATATCCACATTCATTTTATCATACCATAAATAGCCATGAAATCCAATCATAGTTTGTGATCTTCTAGTTCTAAATCTTCTAGGTACTAGATTTCCTAGTTTCTAACTCTAAAAGTGTCTTGCTTTTTTCAGAAACATCCATTTTTTTCATCCAAATAATAAGCAGTGAAATGCAATTTTAAAATTTAATAAACCCAATCCTCCTCTGCACTTTGCATCTTGTTAACACCTTATGTTTAATTTTATATTTTAACTTTAACTGATATACCAAGTGACTCATTTATTTATATTTATTTATTTATTTATTATTTATATCCTGCTGAAATAAATTCTTCTCTCAAATTTTTGCAACTCAAATATTTGATATATTTCTCCTAATATCAAAACATGGTTTCTGCACAGAGTTTAGTCTGAATCTCCCATTTAAAAGTAGAACTCATCTCTTCCAACTTATCCTATCTCAAACAAATTGTCTTCTGTTTAGATTTGTGAGGAAAAAAATACTCTTTTCTCTTATGTACCCATTTCCCTGAAAATAACACCTCCCTGGATAATAAGCCCAGTTGGGCTTTTGAGTGCATGGGCTAAAATAAGCCCTCCCCCAAAATAAGCCCTTCCTAAAAATATTGCACCACAACAGCAGCCATGAGGTGGCCATGCTCACCGCCTCCTGCACCTCAAAAATAATAAGACCTCCCCGAAAATAAGGCCAAGTGCTTATTTCGGGGGCAAAAAGAAAATAAGAGCCTGTAGTAGTACACAGTAGTACTAGCTGTATACTTGTGCTTTGCTACGAAACCATGTGATTGGGCCAGACTGCAGGCCAGATGAGTCATGTGCTGGCCACGCCCATATAGGGCAACTGGTAGTTAGAACAGAGTTCCTTTTAGGTGGGGAGGGGGAGAAGAACGTCTAACTCCTTAGCATCGACGCGTGTTAATATAATACTGTATAAGAAATACTGATGATCTGATGGTCATTTTGAAAAATAGTTATATGTGCCAAATTTCAAGTCTGTAGGCTTTACAGTTCTGGAGATTTCGTGATAAGTGAGTGGTATTTGGCTTTATATAACCCTCAATCTAGTATTACCAACAAAGTGGAAGTTTGGGAAAGTAAGATAGAAGGTATTAATAGAAAAATGAAGAAAGAGTTCCATTACTGGAACTGAGCGGAAAAGAATTTGTTTAAGATTTTTAGCAATTCCAGAACAACATAGAGAAGATATTAGACAAAAGAGAGTTACGTTTCTGTCTAATTTTTTTAACTGGGAGCTAACACTGAGCAGAGATTGATCAAGTTTATCGGATTAATACACATTTTGCAAAATGAAGAAATGTTCCAAGGGATGTCCTTGTGTACTTTGTCAGAAAAAAAACCAGAGATCGTTTTGCAATAGCACTTACACACATTTGTCAGAACCTGTAGATGTTCTGAGAAAATATCTATCATTAAGCAAAGGTTCTGATCTCAATTCATTTTTACAGAAAATCATCCAGAAATACAGTATATCTATACTTCCAGATCCATTTATTTCCCAATGTATACTACTTAAAGTATATTCTTTGAACACTCACCTTTACTGTTACCTCTTGTTCCTCTTTATCTTCATGTTGTACTTCAATGAGAGTATACTTGCCATTATGAGCAATAAAATTTTCTCGATTAGTCCATTTATTCTTTGTCTTCTCTTGAAATTTCTTCTCAAAAGCATTTATGGCAGCTTCTAAGGTTGGACAACTGCTGAGTTTACATTGCCCTACTTCCCCCTGGAATGTCACAGAACATTTGTTAACCTTAAATTATCAGGAAACATTTGCTGATCTTTTTTTAAAAAAATTAAGCTATGATTGCAACTTCTGCCAGGTCTTACATTATTTCCCAGTTTTGAATATACCTGAACTTTAACCACAATCAGAATTTTATAGAGTGAAACCAGGCTTACTTGATAACATGCCTTTTCTAGCCTCAACATTTGAAGGCTTGCTTCACTTCATATTCATTCACTCTCTCCAGCTCAGTACTGACATTTTCACTATCCCCTGTTCCTCTTCACCGAATATCAAAATAAATAAATGTACAAATTCACACCCACCCCACACAAAAAGAAAAGACATATTACGATCAACGGTGATAGAAATCAACTCTTTTCAAGCAGAGATTTTTTTGCCAGGGTATTCTGGAAAATTAAAGCCTTATATAAAATGAACTTTGGAGGTAAAGAAGGCAACTGTCCCAGTCACTAGCTGCAATCTCAGACTGAGCTAGAAAAATCAGAATCTTGGACCAGTAGGCTTAGATGAGTACAATCTGACCTCCTCCAAGAGATGAGGAGAGATGTTTTAGCAATCTGAACACAAGGTCCTCCTGTGAATTAAAATACAAAGGGCTTCCAATTCAATTGAACTATCAGTAGATAAACAGTCGAGAGCCAATCTAGTGGTTAAAGCACCAGGCTAAAAAACAGGACACTGTGAGTTCTAGTCCTGCCTTAGGTACAAATCTATCTGGGTAACCTTGGGCCAATCACTTTCTATCAGCCCTAGGAAGGAGGCAATGGCAAACTACTTCCAAAAGCTTTTTAAGAAAACTGCAGGGACTTGTCCAGGCAATTGTCTGGAGTCAAAATGATGCCACACATACAATAGATAAGCAGTCAATAGGGACATGAACCAATTTTTCTGCTTTTAGTGCCAAAATAAAAACACAAATAACCAAACCATGTGGGGAAATTCTGGCAAGGCAGTAGAATCAGGCAAAAGCCAAATTTAGGATTTTGGAATGAGGTATGATTCAAAATCCCTTTTATGGGCTGGGTTCAAGCATCTGGTGTCCTTCTCTTTTGGGGTTTCTCTGTTGACTAATCAATTCTCGAGCTTTCTGTTCCTTGCCTTCTCATTCCACTGTACTTTTAAGGTCAAGACCAGAGGTGGGTTCCTACCAGTTCGCACCAGTTCGGTAGAACCGGTTCGTCAAATCTACTGAACCGGTTAGAAGAGGTTCCACCAGAAAGCAGGCCACACCTACAGAAGAGGTTCCAAAAATTTTTGAAACCCACCACTGACACACACACACACACACACACACACACACACACACACACACACACACAGACTCACACAGAGAGAGAAAGAAAGGAAGAAAGA